AAGATTGTCCCAAAGCAAATCATGACTAGAACTCTCTGAATCTGAGTTTAACTTTTTCTTACAACTTACAGAGGCAGAACTTTTAAAGTATAAGAATGTGGAATAGTTACAAAAATTTGTTTTAAATTAAAATAGATTTATTTTTAAAAATTGGTATAAAAACCGATTTATATTTACATTGCATTATAATTTACTCACTGCAGAGACAATGTTCTATGAGTGTTCCATTTTTCTGAAAATGACTCAGAAAGAACAAACTACCCACACTGTGCGAACCCGATGGTAACTAGGATAAGGTTGAAGGTGGAAGAAAACAGACCCCAGCCATCTATTATGCTGATTACAGGTACAAAGAAAGGAGTTAAGTCAGAGTCCAGGAGGGAGCAGGACCCACAGGACTAAACCTCTGATCTCCTTTTAAATTGGTGGACGGCTTTCCATGGCATACCCCTGTAATAAGCTCGGTCAGGTTTAGAACAGATTAAATCTTTGTTCTATACATATCAACAAGGCAACTTTGTTTCAGGAGTCAAGTTTGTAACGTCAGGTTTTCTCTCTCTGGAACCTGACATAAGAAACCTGAAGGGCCAATACCCCTGCCTGCCTGTGACCACTAAGGGGTCAGTAAATCCTGAACGAGGGAGATTCTGAAAAGAGATTGGTACCTGGCTTCTGGTCCGGACCTGTCTTGTTTCGGTCTGACTTTAATAAAATCTAGCTTCTACAGGCAGCCATTTTCTATCTAGGTCCTTCACACACACACGCTATTTTTGTGCAAGCGGGCAACCATTTGGACTCAGGGAGAACACACACACACACACACACACACACAACACACACACACACACACACACACACACACACACACACACACAGGAAAAAAGGATCAGGGGCACAAACCAAGAAACGAAACGGGAATCTCACCAAAGGCCAGAATGAAAACTCGGGCTCTCCAATGCCGAGTAATAAATCCTGGCGCCCCGGCAGCCGGGAAGCACTTGTGAACCCGATTCCGGTCCTGTTCAACCCCTCCCAATCAAAGCCAGAAAAAGCGGCCGACTAGCTACAAAGCCACCGGGAAGAGCAGCCCACTTAAAGTGCAGGCGCTCCGCTCGCAGTGCTCACGCTCTAAAAATAAATGATCTCGCTGTTTAGCAGAGCAGAATCAGCGAACTATCATCACACACAAAAAAAGCAGACCTCGTAAAGAAACAGGACGCGCGGCTGGGAACAGAGGTGGAGATCAGCAGTTTGTCCTTAGGGTTAAATCTGTTGGCAGTTTGGGAAGGAACTGGACTTTAGTCCTTCACGTAGGGGACGAGACAAGCCTGTTACTGACTCTGGAAATGGTTTGCTTTTGTTGTTAACCGTTCTAGTCAGCACACAAAGCCAGGGCATTAGCTTCGCTTCAGTTGGCCCTCCCACACTGGGTGCTTTCCTCCTCCCCCCACAGTACTCCCCAGGCCTTCCAGGCCCTAGATAAGTAAGGGGCTCAAAGGTTCTAGGACATGCAATTTCGTACAAGTCAGGCAGCCAAGCCCCGCAGTGTCTAAGGACCGACTTGTCTGACAACCGTGTCCTGTAGGATCACAGGGTTAATTGTACACACAATTACAGCCGGGTGTGGTGCCATACGCCTTTAGTCCCAGCACTTGGGAGGCAGAAGCAGGCGGATCTCTGTGAGTTCAAGGCCACCCTGTTCTACAAAGTGAACTCCAGGCCAGCTGGGGCTAAGGGACACCCTATCTCAAAAAGACCAAAAAAAAAAAAAAAAAAAAAAATCCCCAATTTTAACAGGTTCACCATCCTTCCCATATTACCTGGGATAAGTCTTAAGTGTAATTTCTAACCATTAGCTGTGCCCCCCCCGCCGCCCGCCCCGTGGGGACACAGGGTAGGATCCATCCAAGTAGCTGCTCGGTGCTTGGCCTGGAATTTACAACTCCGTCTAAAGGGCGGGTTGCCTCTTACCCAGACCCAACACTTGGAGCTGGCTTCCTCCTAGGTGGAGCCTCCTTTCTCTTCCCAATCACCCGCCAACCCAACTCGCTGCTTTCCGAAGCTAAGCCGAATAACCTATCTAAACCAAACATCTGGCTACAGCTCTCTCGTCGAGAATATGGGTGGCTCTGAAAAGAGCCTTTGGAATTAGGTGTGAAGATGCTTACTTGGCGCGCTCACTTGGAGCTGGTGTACTTGGTGACGGCCTTGGTGCCCTCGGACACGGCGTGCTTGGCCAGCTCCCCAGGCAGCAGCAGGAGCACGGCCGTCTGGATCTCCCGGGACGTGATGGTCGAGCGCTTGTTGTAGTGCGCCAGGCGCGACGCCTCGCCCGCGATGCGCTCGAAGATGTCGTTGACGAACGAGTTCATGATGCCCATGGCCTTGGACGAGATGCCCGTGTCGGGGTGCACCTGCTTCAGCACCTTGTACACGTACACCGAGTAGCTCTCCTTACGGCTGCGCTTGCGCTTCTTGCCATCCTTCTTCTGCGCCTTGGTCACCGCCTTCTTGGAGCCCTTCTTTGGGGCGGGCGCTGACTTCGCGGGCTCCGGCATCTTCGGATGTCTAAAGTCCGGAAGCACAATGAAGGCTGAAAGCGAATTTCTACTATTTATAGGGCGTTTATGCTAATAAGGGATGAAGAGCGAGTCTGAGCTAATTGGAAGAGTAAGGTTCACGATGTCATAATGGGCTGGATTATGCAAATGATGTATGGAAATACAGATTTTTCTATTGGCTACTTGACTGAGATTTGAGTTACCCAATGAAGGACTTGCAGCTACTACCCAGGAACTAGCTATAAAAGCTGTATCCTGGACACTTTAGAACTTAGTTTTCGCATCTGACTTCCTAGGTTCTTCGCCATGTCCGGACGCGGCAAGCAGGGCGGCAAGGCCCGCGCCAAGGCCAAGACCCGCTCGTCCCGGGCTGGCCTGCAGTTCCCCGTGGGCCGCGTGCACCGGCTGCTGCGCAAGGGCAACTACTCGGAGCGGGTGGGCGCCGGCGCCCCGGTCTGCCGGGCCGCCGTGCAGGAGTACCTGCCGGCCGAGCTCCTGGAGCTGGCGGGCAACGCGGCCCGCGACAACAAGAAGACGCGCATCATCCCGCGCCACCTGCAGCTGGCCATCCGCAACGACGAGGAGCTCAACAAGCTGCTGGGCCGCGTCACCATCGCGCAGGGCGGCGTCCTGCCCAACATCCAGGCCGTGCTGCTGCCCAAGAAGACCGAGAGCCACCACAAGGCCAAGGGTAAATGATTTTGGCAGCCATCAGAACTTCTGGAGGCGCTTTCAAAACCAAAGGCTCTTTTCAGAGCCACCACCCTCTCAAAGGAAGAGCCGAACGCAGTGTATAGGAGAGTTCGTTACTTTACTCCAAATTAAAACGTTATCCCATGTAAATATCTATTACCATGTAACTGCGCAAGTATTTTGCAGTCAGTGCGCATTAAAATTCAGCGCACAGAAGCTGGGTGTGATTGTGCATGTCTTTAGACCTGCAGCACTCTAGACGCACAGGCAGTGGATCTCTTGAGACCGCGGCTAACCTGGTCTACACAGCAAGTTCCAGGCCAGCTCGGGCTACAAACCGACCCTGTCTCAAAGAGACAAAAACTTAATGAATAGATGTATAACTGAAAAACGGACCCCACCCCCCATATAATCTCCCAGCTGGACAATAGGGTAACCTGCTGCCTCGTTTTAAATATGTTTTTCCAATTTTAATTTAATGTGCCTAATCTATTGCCCTGCAGGATAGTGCATTACATGCTGTAGGATTTCCAGGGAAACCACATGCCAGTTTTCCCACTTTATGAACTGGGGAAATTGGGTCTCATGGCCTCTGAACTGCCAAAGACTTGGCCACGTGAGACCAGGCAAAAACCTGAGCATCTTTCCTGTTTTTTTTTTTTTCATCACTAAGCAGTTCCTCAGGGTAGCATGGTTTGTGAGTGCAGGGTAGGGCAGGGTAGGGGGAAAAGTCAGGAGACCAGGGTTGGCCTGAGCCTTCTCTGACAGACTGGCCAGGCACCGCGGCCACACGCTAGTCTCTGGCTACCACTGAAGCATTTTGGGTGAAATTTACTTTCTAAAATTCAAATCCACGTGTGTAGTGGAAGTTTTTTCCATCCAAGCAGAAGCTGATTCCTGGCAGTCTTCGAATACTGGCCTTAATGCCCCGGGTCCGGGAACAGCCTCTTTCCTTAGGAAACCATTCTAAAAGGAAAATGGTTCGGTGTCCTGAAACCGCAAGGCAAACGGAAAAGCAAGCCCCCCGTCTGCAACACGTTAAAATTTTCTGAGGTATACTCTTTTGGGTTTTTGTTCTGTTTTGTTGTTGTTTTGTCTTTTGGGGGATAGGGTCTCCCTGTAGCCACAGCTAGTCTGAAATTTGCTATGTAGACCAGGCTGTCCTTAATCTCACAGTGATCCACCTGTCTCTGTTTCCCAAGTGCTGCCACCACCACACCTGGTACACTTGTTTGGGTTTTGGAGAGACACATCTCATGAAATCCACCCTGAGTATTTACTATGTAGCCCAGGCTGGCCCTGAACTCTTGATCTTCCTGTTTCTTCTTCCCAAATGGTAGGAACACAGGTGTGTGGCAGGAAAGGATGACCTTGCTTGTTGAATCAGGGTCTTACTTAAGCCCTGCCTACCTCATACTCACAAGTACCTGAGGATGGCCTTGGGCTTGTGATCCTCTTCCCTCCACCTCCTCAGAGCTGGAATTACAGGTATGCATCACATGCCTAGCTGCTGAGATGGCTTTCAAGTTATGAGGATTCTCTGGGCAGCTGGGCTTGGAAAGTCTGGCCCCTTGAAGAAGGCCGGCCATCCAGCTCAGCGTGTCCTTCGAGTGCAAGCACTTGGATCCTTAGATCTGAATTTTTTTGTTTTCCTTTCCTAGTTGCCTTTGACCCCAGGCCCGAGGCTTTTGGGTATATGACCTTGGAATAGATATGTACGCTCTCCCTGCCTCCGTGTCCTCCTGTCTTTCTCACTCTGCTATGTAAAGGTTGCAGCTGAACAGTGTGTGTTCTCAATCAGAGCACAACACAGACCAAGTGGGACAGATGCGGGTTAAGCAAGAGCTGTCTGCCAGGCACATTTCTGTCTGCCCAGCAGATAAACTCATTTAGCAACACTCAGAAACAAGCGGTACTGCAAGTACTCAGGGTGGGTTACATGAGATGTGCCTCACCAAAACCCAAACAAGTACTACTGCTGTTTTAGATGTTTGGTGAAGAAACCAAGGAATTGAGTTTAAATGACTTATCTAAGCTCCAAGGAAAGAAAACCAGTACTTCTAATGCTTGGTTATTCCATAACCATCCTTCCCTAAGAGATTTATTGTCAGAAAAAGTTGAGATAGTACAAAATTTTTAAAATACATAATAATTAGGCTTGGAATATATAGCAAAAAGTTAGCGATGACATCCAAAACTCTGTGAGGAACTTAAAGAAAAAAGAAGTTTAATCCCCAGGATCTATATTAAAACTGGAATAAATCTTCACAATGTGTAACACACTGGGGTGGGGGGGGATAGGGTAAAACAAAATAACTTGGTTTGGTGAGAAGGTGGTTTTTTAAGAGCACCAAGAAGACCTGAGACTTGAATTCATTGCCCTAGTTTCCAAAACAAAGCTTTATATTGGATCATTTGTAAATGACACATTGTGAACATTGTTTACCTTTCTGGTTTCCATCTTCAGTCAGACCTCCAAAAGGACAAGACCCCATCATGTTAAGTTGTGAGCAGTCAGCTTTCACCCTGGAATTCACCAGACCCTTGCTAAAAGGACCCTGAATAGATGAGCTACAGGGCACTGGGAGCATTTTGTTCTAGATGGTCAGTTTACTACCAGGGCACATGCTAAGTGCACAACAGATTGAAGTTGCCAATATCAATTACTGTACTGACCAAACTGACTCCATTTTGCATAAAGTAGCCATCTTAGAAGCTTAGCCATGGTGTATTTCTAGCTCAAGGATTATTTTCAGAAGCCCTGACCCCTTTTCCCCTTACCTCCCAGGAGAACGCTGCCCTGGTCACTTGCTCTCTAGACATACAGAAAACAAAATTATTATGCTATGACGAACTGCTGATTCAGCTTCTGTAACTTGCTTGCTTTGCTATGTTAGGGTACCTTGACATGTAGCCTGAGATCCCCCTCCACCCTGCTATTCGGGGACCACCTTGTCAGCCCTCCTTTTGTGGTTTTTAGCTTTAAAAGGTCCCTTTCCCTCCCCCTCCCCACTGCAGACTCTAATCCAATGCTGAGACTGTAGACCAAGCTAGCTTGAAAAAAATCTTTTATCCTGATCTGAATTGAGTCTGGTGGTCTTTGCTCAGCAGTCCCGGGGTCCATAACAATTACTTTTCCTGAAGAAAGTGCCTCTGATAGCCCAGTTTGTATTGGGGGCTTGATTAGGGATCTGTAAAGAAACATAGAATGTCAATTGATCAGCTCTGACCATACAGGGATACCTACCCAAGCACAGGGCACTGTACCCTGCTGTGTCCCAACTCATCTCTAACGTGGATCTTTGTCTTCTGCTTTTCAAGGTCACTATTAATGTTTTGGAGCCCCTATTTTTCCTGGGAGGATTCTCTAGAGCACAGTGAAAGTTCTCCAGCTTCAGTTGGCTTTCAACCCTTGAGCAGGCCCCCACCCACTTTGTCCTGGGGAAGTCTTCACAGTGAGGCATATTGGTATGCCCCCCAGGCCTCCCAGTTAGGGAAGGCACCCTGGCACAAGAGCTAGAAATTCATCTTAGGGTTTTACTGAGATGTGGGGCTAAGATGGAATATTTGGATTTTATATGGTCTCCAGAACAAAGCAAATCCATTTAACACAGTATCATCAATTGTTATATCTCTTTAAATTTCAAAATAATTTGTTCATCAACATCCTTTACCATCTCCACTAATTTTTTTTTTTTTTGGTATCATTTGAACTATTTTCACAAGTATAAATTTCTAAGCAGCCATTTTATATATATATATATATACACACACATATATATACATACATATACATATATATGCTTGGGGCTGGAGAGATGGTTAAGAACACTGGCTGTTCTTGAGGAAGACCTGGGTTTGAATCCCAGCACCCACACGGCAGGTAAAAATGTCCGTAACTCCAGTCCCAGGGGATTCAACTGCTTCTTTTGTCCTTCACAGGCATTGCACAACACGGGTGCACTTACATACATGCGTACACATAAAATAACAATAAGAAATAAATAAAATAAAAATATATGCTTATATATTATTTGTATATA